ATAACAATGATACTAAAGTGTAGTTTTAGACAAGTGTCTGAAAGTGGGCCATAACAATGATACTAAAGTGTAGTTGTAGACAAGTGTCTGAAAGTGGGCCATAACAATGATACTAAAGTGTAGTTGAAGACAAGTGTCTGGAAGTGGGCCACAATAATAATGCTAAAGTATAGTTGTAGACAAGTGTCTGGAAGTGGGCCATGACAATGATACAAAAGTGTAGTTGAAGACAAGTGTCTGGAAGTGGGCCATAACAATGATACTAAAGTGTAGTTGAAGACAAGTGTTTGGAAGTGGGCCACAATAATAATGCTAAAGTATAGTTGTAGACAAGTGTCTGGAAGTGAGCCATAACAATGATACTAAAGTGTAGTTGTAAACAAGTGTCTGGAAGTGGGCCACAATAATGATGCTAAAGTATAGTTGTAGACAATTGTCTGGAAGTGGGCCATAACAATGATACTAAGTGTAATTGTAGACAAGTGTCTGGAAGTAGCCCACAATAATGATGATCTAGAGTATAGTTGTAGACAAGTGTCTGGAAGTAGTCCACAATAATGATGATCTAAAGTATAGTTGTAGACAAGTGTCTGGAAGTGGGCCACAATAATGATGCTAAAGTGTAGTTGTAGACAAGTGTCTGGAAGTGGGCCATAACAATGATACTAAAGTGTAGTTGTAGACAAGTGTCTGGAAGTGGGCCATAACAATGATACAAAAGTGTAGTTGTAGACAAGTGTCTGGAAATAGGATATAACAATGATGCTAGTTATGGACATGTTTTTCACAATTAATATTTGTTAATTCATACCATGGAAATGTATATTTCAAAACGTCTGAATTTTAGAAGTTTAAATATGTTGTCAATCATAACATGGATTTTCTTAATAATTCTCCGGTATTTGTTTCTAAAAATGATTGAATAAACTTTGTTTGATAAAACAATGTACAAAAAGGTTGCATTAGTCAGCAATGTTCCACCACCAATAATAAAACAAAGAAGACTTAAATCAAAATGACTACACTTCTGTCTTGCCCAATATTTATATCTAATTATATTGCTTTCACATCTTGTAATCTTGTATTTACAATTATATTATATTCACTGTACATTTGAACAAAACTATTGTCATAATACTACAGATGGTAGTAAATTTCAAGAACAATGTTTTAATAAAAATCTTAACTTGTTTACCCAAATTGATGTAACTACTTACCCCTGAAGAGATTTCTGAAGTATACTGGAGCGAATAGTGGCATAAATATTTGCAAAATCTTCATTTCTGTTCTTTCTGAGCCATTCAGCTATTTTGATGAGATCCTGGACAGTTTTTTCTGCATTTGATAAATAACTTATTTGATAAAGATTACTGTGTAGTGACATAAAAGTTCTTATAGATATTTTCCTGTTTTTTGTTAGAAATCAGATTAATTTGATGAGAGAGATGCTTTTCCATAGTATATGTATATATATTCAATGACACAATGATATGTTATAGTTACAAATTGGACTTCATTAAATAATCAAAACTTAATTTAGTCAGAAACAAGAAACAACGTGATTTCTATACATAATGGAAAACCGACAAATATTTGAACCAAAAAAAAGTGAAATAATTCCAAAACAAACTTGTGAAACATGAAAATATATTAATACTTCCTGTATTTTACTGAGACTTACAATGGAAGAAAATGCAACAGACTTGAGGTGGAAGGATATTCTTGTAGGAAAACGTAAATTACAACAATTTCAAAGAAAACAACCTATAATATTTTGAACAGTAAGGGAAAACCAGCACACCAATTTCAAAGAAAACAACCTATAATATTTTGAACAGTAAGGGAAAACCAGCACACCAATTTCAAGGAAAACAACCTATAATATTTTGAACAGTAAGGGAAAACCAGCACACCAATTTCAAGGAAAACAATCTGTAATATACTGAACAGTAAGGGAAAACCAGCACACCAATTTCAAGGAAAACAATCTGTAATATACTGAACAGTAAGGGAAAACCAGCACACCAATTTCAAGAAAACAATCTATATAATACTGAATAGTAAGGGAAAACCAGCACACCCATTTCAAAGAAAACAATCTATAATATACTGAATAGTAAGGGAAAATCAGGAGTACAAAAACTGATTCTAATAAACACTGGAGGCATAAATCACCAAATAAATCATGGAAGATCATTGCAACACTAGATAAAACATGGCAGAAACAGAAGAGTGCTGCAAAACTAGACAAAACATGACAAAAAAAAATACTGTTGTAAAACTGGACAAGACATGGAGAGGTGGAAGATTACTGCAACATTGAACAGTACATGGCAGAGATGGAAAAAGATTGCAACACAAGACATAGCAAAGGTAGAAGATTGTTGCAACATTGGAGGAGTCATGGCTCTACTTGTAATAAAAAAAAAAGCATATGGTTCACAGAATGTAAAGAAAGTTTTCAATCACTCTTTATGTTTGCTGCAGATTTCTCATCTAATTGAAAATGTTTAAACTTCACAAGATATAAAGTGAACCAAAGGTGAACTCTAATTATTATCAAGAGAGCATACTGACAACAGCTTTGTGAACTTCACAGAATGCCAGGAAAGCTAAAGCATCAAGTCAAAAGACTTGGAAAGAGCAAAGATTGTTATGATGAATGGTATATAATTACGACCATCAAGTTAAGTATGTTTGATGATAGAAGAAACAGTTTCTAAAGCAGAATGGAAACTTGAACACTGTTCCTGTCATGTAGAATTAACCCTCTGTACTTATATTTCATCTTTAATTCTGAAATTGTATTTAGACTAAAACTTTTTTAAACAATAAGAAATGTTACAAAATGCTATTTACCAGGCAACTGATCCACAATATGTTTTTCTTCTTCATTGGGTAACTCTATAAAACAAAAATAATGATAAACTAGAACTGGTTTATGAAATGTGCAATTTACTTTTTACAATATTAAAAACATGTATATACACACAAACAAACCAAACATCTGCATTCAGTGTTAATTAATACAATACCAGCCAATAAGGTTTCTAAAACAGTACTGATATGGATACTAGTCTTTTATAAAATTATCAACATGAAAAAATCTTCTTGAAACACAAGTAATAATGGAGCATGCTGATGGAACTGCTGACTTCTGAAGTATGGGATTCAGAATATACACCAATACAATATACAAACTAAGTGACTTTTCATATAAATACATGTCAAATCAAAAGATAGTTACATTAATCTTTAAAAAATATGTAACCCAGAAAGGACTACAGGAAAAATACTCTTAAAGTGAGCTTATCTTTCAATGTGAGATATTATTTGTTTGTCTCCTTTTGGTCAAAACAGTTAGTCAGAATGTATTATTTCACAAAGTATTCTCCCCAAATATCAAGTACTTTTGTATGTCAATTTTTCAACTGTCTCAGTCTGGAAGGATTATAGCAAAAATATCCTAACAAAACAACAAAGTAGGAACATGATAAGACTTGGAAAGTATATTCCAATCATCATGGTTACCACAGTAAGAAGTGTAAAGGTCAAAACCTGAAAATAAGAAGCATAACTACCTACTTTGAAAAAAAAAATGTAACCATCATCTCTGGAAATAAGAAGTGTAGCCACCAATTCTAGAAATGCACTTAGATTCAGATTATGTGGAAAGAGTATTAAAATAGATTCTTATCAAAATATTCACAAATTCTAACAACACGTAGTTTAAGTGACCAAGACTTGTACTAATAAAGTCTGAAGATAGCTTGAATGAGTAATAAGAAAACTTTATTACAAGTTTAACATAGTGATAAATATATATTGTTTCCCAAGGCTTTGTCATCATCAGGTACAAGTAGTTTATGTAAACACAGGAATATATATATATATACAGTACTGAACAAAGAGGGCCACCGTGACTACTATAGACTACTTACCAGCTTAGTAAAGGTATCTTGGTCCCTCCGGGGTGTTGGTTTAGAATGGGTTATTTTGTTCAATTAAGATAGCTTCATTGATTTTTTGTTTGTTTATGTTTAGTTCTTTGGTTAAAATCACACACAATTACCAGAACAAAAATTCAAAATTCAACTCACTAAACAAAACTAACACTAAAAAAAACAACACAACATTACACTGCAGTTTACCATTTATCCCTGAAATCAGTTCAAAAATAATTCATACTTGTTTTGAAACATAAAATTCCTGTCAGCTTCACATTCATTCAGAAACCTGGCTTTAAACTAGAATTGCTAATAAGTAAATATTATGAAAAATCACACAATATCAACTTTGTTTTTTAAAATAATGTATATCTGCCCATTCTACATCGGAGGAACTGGAAAAAAATTGAAAACCAGATTCACCACACACACAATAAAAACTCCTCCCATGTTTACCACTGCTGCAACTCAAAAAACCATAGTATATCTATTAAAAACACTGTAATTTTAAACAAAGAACCAAACATCAACAAATGAAAAATCAAGGAAGCAATCTTAATTTAATAAAACAACCCTACTCTAAACCAACACCCTGGGGTGTCAAGATACCTTTACTAAGCTGTTAAGTAGTCTCCAGTTATGTGCCCTTTTTGTTCCATACTGTATATACCTACCCGTGTCTCCATAACTACTTGTACCTGATGATGACAAAACCTTGTCAAAACATTTTATTTGTTATTGTGTGAAGCTTACACAAAAGTTTCCTTTGTTACTAATTCAAGCCATCTTCAAACTACAAAGTCGTGATCAAAGTTGATTTCAACACATAATAATAAGTAAAGAATTCTCTATACCTTTCTTACAAGTTTCAAAAACAAAAGGTAAGAATAAAAATAAAACTTCAAGTATTAGTGACATAAAAACTACTATAATATTTTTTAAAATGTTATAACAAGAATTCAATAGTCTTTACATGTATGGTGAAGGGAAACCTACCATCATCCATTCCTACTAGATCCAGTATCAAGACAGGTGGCATAGGTTTACTATGCCGAGAGAGCAAACCTCGAAACTCTCGTTCTAAGGCATCTCCTCCAGCATCAAATAATGACATCTGGAGAGAAAGCAATGACTGATATTGTTATATAAAACTATACAATAGATAACATTATTAATTATGTTTTCACCTATTGTCTTGTGATATAAGATTTCATAAATGCAACTCATATATGACATATTCACGTAAGCCTTCTGATATATAAAACAGACACCAGGCTAGGCTGTTTCATTCATAATTTAAATAAATAATCACACAGCTAGGCTGTTTCATTCATAATTTAAATAAATAATCACACAGCTGTCAATCTTAAGACTTTACAATTTTCTACTAATTTTATTCAAATAGATCTTGGTACATATTACTTAAAACAAAAACTTGCCCTTTAACCATACAGTCACATCATGCTCAAAAATCATCAACAGATAATTCAGGTTCACAGCCAGAATAATCATCAGCTTGCACAAATTCAATTGTCTCTTCAAGTGTGAAAACACTGAAGCGATCTGATGCCATTTTTGGTCTGTTTTTCTAATAAAAAGTACACAATTTTCAACTGCAAACATTACCAATGTTTTGAATAGCAACACACACCAGGTTGGATATGAATTAGTAGCTAAGATTTGAAGATTAGGCTTTGTCTATTGATTCTGTGCTCATGATTTGTATTTCCAATGGGAAATTTAAACCGCGTCATTTGGTCATCTTGTGGCAATGGGTGTGCCTAAAGGGTTAAATAAACATTAACCCTTTCGAGACGGGTCATGAGTGAAAGGCCATGTCATCTCATTTGTTGACTAGCATTCAAAATTTTACTGAACTACTATATCATGAATTTATATCAATAACTTTTGTATCAAACTGTAGATTATGACTCAAATTTTAATATCACATATTACTTAAGTTCTTAATTTAAAAGCAAATATTAAATAAACACAGATAAACATCAATTTTTGTGTGTCACTTGGTATACTGAATGCAGCACTG